TTTTGGAAATCTATCCTTTGCTAACATGATGAACAACCTTCGAGTCTGTCTATATTTCTGAGATGAGGTATTATGTACACTATTTACATTATTCGGACTATTGTCCTCATCTTTGCCGCCATATTTATTATAACGTTACGGCCGTTGTACGCTCCGGCCTTCTTCGGTCGAACTGAATCATTTATTTCGCTCACTGGGGTAGACTGTTCTAGTTCCACGTGCCATGTTTAATGGATGTCAGTTATAAGTTATCTCATGTTAATTCACCTCTCCAAGTTCTCCACTGCCTTAAGTGGGTATTGAACTCACACTCTTTGGGTCCCCTCACTGGATCTAAACAACACCTTTATCCCCTGTGCCATGTGTCCTTAAGTTAGAGCCAGTGACAGGATCCAAAGAGTGTGAGTTCAATACTCGATTAAGGCAGTGGAGAACTTTCAGAGGGAAATTAACAGGAGACAACTGGTAACTGACATCCATTAAACATGACATGTGGAACTAGAACTTCAAGAAAAAATAAAGGGTTCAGTTCGACATTCCAATCAGCTGAAGAAGGCCGGAGCATACAAAGGCAGCAACATGGTAATAAATATGGCGGCAAAGATGAGGACAATAGTCCGAATAATGTAAATAGTGAACCTTCGAGTCGTTGTGTTTGCACATCATTAGTATTAGAAGGCGTAGTGAATAATGTTCAAAGAATTCGTAATTAAGATTGTGTATACCTTTTGAGGCCGTGTTTAAGCAGAAAATTTAAAACAACGAACACCACATTGAACAATTTGTTCTTTTTAATATTAACTTATGTTGCTTATTAATATCCCAAAATGTTCAACATTCGCAAAAATCTTACAAGGGATGCGGGTAACAAAGTTCACAAGATTTGGCGCTCAAACCTGCCATACTCTTTAAAAGTCCAAACATTTTGAACATTCATTGAACCAGTCCTAGTCTATGAACCAGTAACTTGGACATTATCTGCTCGTCTTGAAAGACGGCTGGATGGAACATATACAAATCTATTTAGAAAAACCCAAAACATCAATTGGAGATCCCATGCAACGCTTAACACAATTCACGGGGACCAATCTCTCTTAAACTCAAACAAAAGTGATTGCAGTTTGCTGACCACTGCCACCGAACGGACAGGTAAATCGTCTCATACTTACACCTATGGCATCCTTCTGAAAGTGTCTTCTCACGAAAATTGACTTTTCCAGACACCATAGCTCAGGACTCAGGGTTGGATATTGGGGAGTATTCAGGAGTGAGAAGTGTGGAAAGGGATTGTCAATGGAGTTCTGGCCAACCATAGGGAAGTCAAAGAATGATGAAGACAGTGATGATGATGATGATGATGATTAATCTCCTTTTGCATTAACAGGAATATTTTAACACAGTAACCGAGATTCGATCGTTGAAAGAATATTTTGTTCCCCCCCCCCATTTGTATACGCATGCGTCTTTGGAGCTATATACAACGTAGCGTACTCGCCTGTCGTTACTGTGTTGTTTTTTCCGAGTATTTTATTTTCCTACAACTGAAACTCTCTTTCTTAGCTACAACTGTCGTTCTTCCTATAGTGATTTTCCAAGCGTAGCTTAGATGTGGCACAAGGCACCCAAGTAGGGGGTACCCAATGAGGATCGAACACACTACTCAGTCGTAATTATTCAAGCGAGACAAGCTTGCTAACCATTACGCCACACCGATGTGACCTTAATTTTCCAAGCGTAGCTTAGATGTGCCACAAGGCCGAAAGTAGGGGGTACCCAATGAGGATCGAACACACTACTCAGCCGTAATTGTCCTAGCGAGACAAGCTTGCTAAGAATTACACAGCTTCGAGGTGCTCAATCGTTTCTTCCCATATGAGTTAAGCATCTTGCGTATTTCTACGTGAAAATTAAGAAATCGACTTTTAACTTAACCTGTTTTTTTTTTTTTCCGAATGTGATTTTCTTTCTGTCTTTTCTTTTATTCTCTCACTATCTTTTCTTTCACATTTCTCTTCCTCTTCCAATTTATAAGATCTATTTAATAATACTAAAATAACACCCAGTCATATCCAATCGCAAAGAAAAATGAAAGTCAGAGAAACAGACAGTTACAAATTCAGGCATATTCTCTTAATATTCTAGTTCAACCTTTTTTTCTTGGTTACACGTTTTGAAAGTTTCTATTTGTGTCCGTCTTTCCAATATTCAATATTATTTTTTTTTAATATAATTGATCTCTTCTCTACTGTCGCTTCGGAATTGAGTAATTCATTTCCTATTTTCAAGGTGTGCCGGACGCTGAGAACTGGTAAACTACGCAATGTGTGCAAACAGAATAAGCGCTTGCGTGTAGAAACGTGTTGGCGCATAAACAACTTAATTGAAAACTTGCCGTTAAATTATATCATGTTACCGACATCGTTCTAAGCATTGTTTATTTTGTGATATAGTTAAATTATTGTCCTTCTAGTGAAAGGCACCAAATCTAAATATCTGAATACATTAACCACAGCAAATATGATTCTCTTGGTTAAGAATGGCTGTCAGTAAAAGGAATAGACCAACATGGAAATTACAAATTAGAATTTATTTTATCATTCCACCCCATGCAAGGCAACAAAGTCACTAACACGTAGAGGGCTTCTGAAGGTTAAAGAATGTAAGAAAATCATTATTACTGAGGAAGGACTATAAAAGAACAGCAATGAAAGAGACACAAAACAACGCTTGTAATTAGATTTAAATTTTTGAACATTCTGTGAAGTAAAAAGCGCAGAGTTCCACAAAACAGAAGAGTGGGAAAAGAAACAGGTTACATAGAACTTATGCTTGCAACTATTTCCACTGTAAAATGATGAAACCTTGCCACCAATCTAGTACTACGCTTAAACACATATATATGATTATTATTAAAATCATAATGTCAGTCCTCCTATATGGCAGTAAATCCAGGACAATCGCAGTTGAAGAAGAGACATGAAGCAAGAGAAATGTTGTTCTACAGAAGGATGCTGAGAATACCATGGACTGAATATGTGAGCAACGACAAAGTTTTAGAGAAAATGGAAGCAAAAAGGACATTTATATTTTGTATAAGAAAGGGACACTTGAAATTTCTAGGGCACACAAAGAGAAAAGAGGGTTTAGAAATTTGACACTCACAGGATATATTGAATTCAAGTGGGACAGATGAAAGCAATGAATAACCTATTTAACAAGTTTGTGCAAACGAATGAAAGAACAAAGTTTAGGAGGGATAGAAAAAAATTCAAATTTTAATAAGAGCTAAAAAGAACAGGGAATTCTGGTGAGTCAAGATTGCTAACGTCCTGAAGAGACAAGGCAATATTTTTATTCTACCTTTCTATTTTCTGTTTTTTAATGTTATTTTTCTCTCTCCTTAATAATAATTTTCTTTTTATCATATCCTTATGTCTTAGTGGTTTTATTGCCTTGCTTGGGAGCGGAGATGATTAAAAATAAAACTATATTGAGTCAATATTAATTACAATTTCTAAGAGAGAGCATTTTCTGGCTGATCACAATTGTATACAAGGCCACAACGATCAAACCCTCTGTGATGATGGCGTGTGATTTCTTGATAGCCTATCTACTGACGGCTTGCGAACAGATTTGCCAACGCTGTTTTAGTTGCAATCCTTGAGTGAACCAGTGGTATATCTTCCAGGCACTTGCCGATGGGGATGCCCGCAGCGGGAATTGACTCACCGCCGATATTTTCAAGAGGTTTCCTCTTTGGCAAATCAACAATGGTAAGATTTGAAACCGGGTCCCAAGGTCAGAATCCTAACGTACTAACCTGTTGCGACCAAGTAAATAGTTAAAGAAATAACATAACAAGTGTTGCAGATATATCATATATTAAACAGTAAGTACAACAGAAGAGTATTATTCCACTAGTGACTGTGTGTCGGTTGACCCAGCGTTCAATCTATTCACTTGTTACATTTACCAGCCACCCCAAGATGTAGGATGTGGCACAAGGCAAATTTAATGTGGAGCTATCCGAGCCCGTAGGCTCGGCCAAAAATTCCCCATAGACCCCGTATAAAACGGGATCGGTTAAGTGTTTCCCGAGACGAGACTCTGACCTTCGTCTGGAGATCCTCTCTGTCCGAAGGCAGAGAGTTTGACCAGCACAGCTGGAACAGATCTATTCGACTGTTAATATTTAACAGGCCACCCACGATGGATGGATGTGGCACAAGACCGAGTTTACCGTGGGTTTTCCGAGCCCGTAGGCTCGGCAAAAAAAAAATTCCCTTTGAACCCGCTTAAACTGTCTAACCTCCTCGGACGAGTTCTTCTCCGCTCGAGGCAGAGAGTTCGACAGAAATGAACAGTCTGGTCGACTGATCCCCTAAGGCCTTCTCTCATACTAATCTTATAGTAGGCACAAGAGTCCAACATAGAGGGAGGACAGAACAACATAACCACACGTTAAGGCGCCCACTCAACCATTGAATGAAAATGACATAACATGAAATAAATATGCGTTGAAATCCCTGAGTAAGTAGATACATAAAGATTATTCGATAAGAAGCAAAAGCGGAAATCTAAATATTTTGAATGCAGAGGTCAATATAAACATTTATATAGCCTTATCCTTTACCGATCTCCCTCTTTCCGGTACTGCACTATATTAGATATAATAGCTGGCTGTATAGAAAAAGCATTTTCTCTCCGTCCATCTGCGAATATCCTTGTCTTTGGTGACTTTACTGCAAAATATAAGACACGTAATTATTAAATAATTTCTCTATGTTTTCTGCACATCCATCTCTCATATACACAGCATTAATCATTGTAATGGACGTGCCGATCACTAATGAGTGCTCCGTACATGTAGCCTTGTGCCAAAACTAAATTACGCTTAATAAATGACAACATAAAATTATAGCAGATTTTTGCGCTTGATCAGAATTTATTTTTGGTCCACAAAACTTGTTTATACATATATCTAAGGGAACCGGCATTTCATGCCTGCCTTTCTCAAACCTTTCTGCCTCTTTCTCTTTCTATCTGTCTCTCTCTCTTTTCCTATCTCTCCCTCTACCTCTCTCTCTTTCTGTTTATGCTACTCTCTCTCTCTCTCTCTCTCTCTCTCTCTCTCTCTCTTCTCTCAAGTGAATGCATAATAATACAGATCTGCCTTCTTTCAGTTTCCAACAAAATAATTAATGCAGTAAAGATCAACCATTATTTTGCAGGGAAATGCAAATTTTAAAATGAATCGGCTGTTGAACGTATTGTGGCTTTCATTAAATATTCACGTTTTAATAAATAATTATGAGGAAAACAGAAAGATAGACATCAATTAAAGAAATGGTAAAATCTTTAAATCTTCAGTTTCAGAATTGATCTTCGTTTCAGAATTGATCTTCGTTTCAGACAGGACTCCAGTCGGAATCTGATCAGTTTTCTTGGTATTATTTTATGATGTTGTCTATTTTGAACATTGAGAGTAAAAATCATAACGATACTTCAAAGATCCAGTGATAAATTTAGTGACCTCTTGTGATCTTCATCGGAAAACTGTCACAAACTTAAATGCATCTTCTCTTTATTATTTTATCCAGACAATGATCATGAAAGCATCATTGCCTGAAAATCAACTTAGTTGAAGAATAATTTCCCCCAGTCTATCGAACGTATTTTTAAGCATGTTTTACTTTTCAAAACGCAATTATATTTCTTAACAGACCTTAGACCTGTTATATGTGTTACAAGAGTGTTATTTTTCCTCGACCAAAAACACTGTAAATTTTAATATAGTTAAGTTAAAAATATTCATTTTCAAAAAAACAAAGCAATATTTCTAAAAGAAACGCAGTGAATATGAAATATCAAAAAAAAACTGGTAGTAATTTTAAAATTAGAATAAAAATCCCGTGTTAATTATAAGTTTCTATCTATAATCCATAAATGCTCACCCTCATAAAAATGCGACAGTGGAAAAGTGTTCTTTTTTTTTTTAAATCGCGTTTTTCCCGAGCAAGGAAGTAAAGCCACTAAGACACAAGAATTAGAAAACAGAAACATTAGTAATGAGCAAGAAAAAAAAAGAGTAATCAGGAAGACAGTAGATAACGATTGAGATTGCAATTACATTTTTTGAAGATAAAAGTGAGTTAGAAAGGATATAGCCGGAAAGGAGTCCCACAATCGAGAGTGCTAGAAAAGAAAATGTTAGCATAAAATTTATAGTTACATCTTCCAACTCAGCTGTAAATTGAAGTGATGCCGCTGGAATATTTATAGTAATAACCTCATTTTATATAGTAAAAATCTATTTTCAGTATTTCTTTTGGTTTCTGCCTTATTTTGTAACTGCCGAGAAATTTAGAACCGAAACCCTTTTACAATCCAGTAAGACATATTGTATTTATCCCACTGCCACGCTAAGGGAAATAACTCAGCTAAATTACCCTTGTGTTACTGTGATCTTTCCCTCTTCAACTAGAGCATATTATTTTCACTGCATGACCTAGACATTGAACTCACGACTATCAGGTAATTAGCTACACTTAACAAACGTCTTATCTACTCGTTTGATAACTGTCATTTCAAATGACGTAAGTATAACAACTAAAACGAGCATACTCACGTAGATTGATTAACTTTACAAATAAAACATTCGAAGTAAAAGTCAATCGTTACGTGTCGTCTCATTGACAATAAGATTGTTTCATATAATAAAAGCGTAAAAGAAATTTTATAATTCATTCAAATGTTCATTTATGCGTAACAATTTTCGTGTGTAAAATAAGACAGATGGAAACAATTAAATATCGGCTGTAAGGTATATATGTTAAGGAAAATGTTTTACTCAATAAAACATGAACGACATTTATTGCAGTTATATAAGCATAACATAAAAACTGAAGGAGATGGGAAACTTTTGGAATATCCTCTTTACAGTCTAATGTTATACGCTGACCAGATCATTTAATTTTGGCTAAACTGTTTGCCACGAGGAATTGTTTGCTTTTTGGAAGCTTTTTAAGATCTATGAGGGGAGCAAAAGATGATGGCTTATGTTTAAATGATGACTTATGCTTCAATGTAAAAAGCGTACTGTTATCTTTCGTAGTTATTGAACAATAGCTAAAGTCGATATTTGATATTTAACCATATTTATTTCTACATACAGGGTGTACATTTCTCTGCTTTGTCAACTATTATGAAAGGTTTTGGCCCTGTTTTCTTCTTACACTATTTCCAGCGCATGCGTCTTTGCGACTCTCGCTTACTTCTCTTTTTTTTCTTATATATAACGTCTCTGCTTTCTTCTCTTTTTTTGCTTTCATCTAAACCTCGTCGTTGTTATATTTTTCTCCATGTTGTTGACCTTGTCAAGCATGTATCCTGTGTTAGTTGCTCTTGTGTATCTGTCGGTAAATGAGAATTATAGTTGTGTGTTTGTTTAATGGGGTTGTCTTGCCTTATTGTGATAGGGGTCGTCCAAATCGTTATTCTGTTTTCTTATCTTGTTTGTTCTTTTTCGCTTGAGATATTTTCCAGGTTCAGTTCTAATAACGTAGGATCTCGGGTATTGGCAGTGATAATGATTTGTGCTTTCTTCTAGGTTTTTCCTTATTGGGTTTTGTCTGTGGATATGTTACCCTTTGAATAATACGGGTAGGGAGAGCACATGTCTATTGTAATATTATTTACCCTGTCTTGATAAGAGGCTACTTTCTGTAGGTTTCCTGCTGATCCATTGGGCGATTGATCTGACTTGGGTAATGTGGTTTTGCATTTTCTGGGATTCAGCAGTTGGTGATGGTTTCATATCTGCCTTGACTGGTGTTGCCCTTAACGAGAGTAAAGCGCGACATGGGTCTTGCCCCATTTGCTTGCATTTTATAATGATTTCTGTTATTGGTTGGGCATGTCTCTCAATGACTCTGTGTCCTCTAGGATAATGTAGGAATGATGTTTTGATTTGGAATCCGTATTCCTCCGTTATTCTCCCGAACTCCCTTCATGTGAATTGGGTTCCATTGACACATATAAGCTTATCGGATATTCCTTGTTCTGACATTATTTCTTGTATTGTCGACCTGATGGTATCACCTCTTATGTTTCTTTTTTAATTTCAGGATTGTTGGGAATTTTAGTAACAGACTATAATTAGATACCATTCTTGGTCTATTATAAAATTGGTCTGCGCCATGGTCTACTTGGCATATCAGTAGATATAATTTCTTTTTGCTATGTATTCTGCTATTTCTGGCATGTGTGACATTTTGAGGCCGCGTTTTCTATATCTTTGTATTGCCGATCCAGTAAAATGCAGATTTTGCCTTCAGTTTACATTTTCCCCTACCCATGTGACCTTGGTGTATTTTCTGGAGGATTCCTGGTTGTAGTGTTTTCGGTATTATTATTATTATAGATCCTGCCAATAGGACCCCATTTCCTAATGATATGTCATCTCCGATAGACCAGTATTGGTGTATTACTGGATATATCTGGTGTTGTTTTTTCTGACCACCCTTGTGTAACTTGTGAGAGAATTTGTAATTCTTCTTCTTTTCTGGTCTCTTCTCTGGTCCGTTCTAATTTGTTGTTGATGTCGCTAACAATCTGATGTATTTTGATTCAAATATCTTTTATCTCGTATTTACCGTTTCCAGATAGGCGCATTAAAGCATCAGCTATCACTATTTCTTTCCCAGGTCTATAAGTCAGAGTAAAGTCGTATGCTTGTATTCGGAGGAGCAGCCGTTGTAATCTAGCCGGAATCTAGGTTCTTGTTATAAATTTGCTCTAATGGACGGTGATCGATTTCGGCTATAAATTTTCGGCCATATTTGTAGTTATGAAATTTCTCATATCCGTATACCGCCGCCAGTAATTATCTTTCGATGATTGCATATCTGGTTTCTACTGATTTTACTGCCTTTCACGCAAATCCTATTGGTCTCCCCTCCTGCACTAATGCTACACCTATACCTATGCTAGATGCATCTACCTGTAATGTTACTGGTTTTTACCTACCATAGCAGCGTAACTCTGTTTCCTTGCATAATATATCTTTGAGTCGTGAATCAACGTCTCACTGCTGGGATTCTGTCCATTGAAAATATACATCTGCCTTCATTAGTTTTCTTATATTAGACATAGGGTCAGACATCTTTGGTATGAAAGAATTCGTATACTGAATCATACCAAGTAAGCTACAGAGTTCCTTTTTATCTTTTGGTGCCTTCATCTTTGATATGCCTGTGACGTTTTCTTGGTCTGGTCTAATGCATTTGGGTGTGTATATTAACCCCCATTCTTCTATGTCTTTGAACTTACATTTCTTTGCGACGTTTTTCATACTAGATAAAAATATTGTCAGTGGCTTGTTCGATATTTTGATTTAACGCTTGGAATTCGTAGCTGCGCATTCTGTTGTTTCAACCTGGTTCAAGGTGTGCTGAATTTTTCAAATATTTTGTCTAACCTGCCACCATCTTCGACGCTGAGATCCCATGGATTGTATAAATCCAGACCTTTTTTGCCGGTCCATAGCAATATATAACTAACATTTTCTTCATCCGGGGTTCAACTGAGGAAAAATTTAAATGTCAGCTTGCATTTGTCTGAATTTCTTAAATTCTTCAATGATGTCGTCGGCTTCCCAATCCATTCTTGAGTAAAAATCCATGGGTGTAACCTTCAACATTTTTTTCTAAGATTTGACACTTTAGCTATTCTTGGGGGTGACGTGTAGCTCGTCCGCTTACACCATGCTATGTTTCGTAGTTACTGAACAATAAAGAAAGCAGATATTTTATATTTAACAATATTTATTTCTTACATACTGATTGTACGATTTTTCTGCCTCGTCATCTATCATGAAAAGTCCAGGCATCTTTTTCTTTTTACACCGTTACCGCGCATGCGTATTGGGTCGCTCGCTTACTTCCTTTTTCTCATATTATGTAACACCTATCTGTTTACTTATATACAGTAAATTAAGTACAAATTCTCACTCTATCTATCTATCACACGCACACAATAGTTTTACTTAGTATCTCTCCAACTCATTTTTAGTAAATCCGTTTATTTTCTTCGTTGGGTAAGCTACTGGAGTGTACAAACACGCACTTACACATGAAAACAAACACACACACACGCACACAGATACACACACACACACACATATATATATATATATATATATATATATATATGCATTATGAAAAATAAACAATAAGAGATGATAACACTTACAGAACAGACCAACCGGTTTCGTTCCCAAGCTCATCAGGGTCGACTGGGAACAATTTAACAATTATTGCAATATATATTGACTCACACAAACACCCTACATACAATTAAAACATAAAAAATGTAATGAATTAATGGCATGAGGGGAAAAAAGTATATTTCAAACCGCGCAAAAATGCACAGAAGAAAGGAAAAAGAAAAAAAAGTAGGCAGTGTGAGAGGAATGTATGATAAACACTAGAGTCTAATGACGTGAAGCCCAAGGAGACAGTCTTTTTGCTTGCAAAGAGACGGCTCCCTGGACCGAATATACAGAGACTCAAGTGCCCTCAAATGAAATGGAGAGTGCGAACTGGACAGTACAGTAAACCAATTCGGACTGAAGTTCTTCGCACAATCCCTGCAATTTATTAAATGTTCAGTGATCGCTGACCCGGAAGTATTAACCAACTGACTCTTACGGGCATCCGGATTAAGAACTCGCAATGGGACATGCTGCCTGATCCTACAATCTAAACGTTGGGAAGTCCTTCCTATGTAGTTGCCACCGAAACCACATTTAAAAGAATAAATCACGGAAGAAACATGATGGGGAGGAAGAGGATCCTTACGGATAGAGGAAAAGGCAGAACGAGTCGCAAAATGAATTCTTAGTTGAGCAGAGAAATAGCAGTGATGGACAGCAGACAAGACCCGCCTAGCCACAAGCTCGCCCCGGGAACCAATAAAAGGAAGCCGCAAGTAAATAGGACATTTATGAACAAAGTATTGTTTTTCCTTTTGAAAATTAATAATTTTATCACGCATGACACTGTCAAGAATATCACTAGGATATCCATTTTTTAATAGAGTGCAGCGGATAAAATCCAATTCTTCATCCAAATATTGTACACTGAAAATCATCAAGGCCCTATGTGTTAAGGTCTTGATTAGATTGATTTTACGCTTTCTGAGACAAAAAGAGTCCCAACGCGTATACAAACCAGAAAACGTTGATTTGCGAAACACCGAAGTAAGAAATTGAGAAGTCCGATGCACAAGGACATCAAGAAAAGTGAGACAGGAATTAGACTCCTTTTGTTAAATTGTTCCCAGTCGAGCCTGATGAGCTTGGGAACGAAACCGGTTTGTCTGTTCTGTAAGTGTTATCATCTCTTTTTGTTTTATTTTTTCATAATGCCTATAGGAAATAATTTGTATCTATTCCTCGCAATATTACGGTTCTGTACCTCCAACAATTTATATATATATATATATATATATATATATATATATATATATATATATATATATATATATATATATATAATATAGTAAAATATATTTTTAAAAATAAACACACACGTCTCAGTTTGCCTACGTCACAACACTATTTGTCCCTGTCCCTACACCCACAGTTCTACGAAACACACCATTTGTTTCCACCCTACGATGTTTGTAACTTAAGAAAGTCGAAAGATTCGGCCATATTTCTTTGGATATTAACTTTAGACAATCTTTGACGGTTCTTTCCCATTATCCGAGAAGGATTATTTGTAATTTAGAAAAGTCGATCAATAAAATTAAGCGACACAAAATGTCTGTTGTCTTTAATAACATTACTCTTAAAATATATATATATATATATATATGTGTGTGTGTGTGTGTGTGTGTGTGTGTGTGTGTGTGTGTGTGTGTGTGTGTGTGTGTGTGTGTGTGTGTGTGTGTGTATTTATACACAGTTAAAATTGCGGTATACTTATGGGGAAGTCTGCTCGATATTTGATTAATAAAGATTTTTAATTGATATTTTCAAGATATAAACAATGTGGACATTGGAATCAACATTTCTTGGTGGTGTTCCGTCTCACGGCTCTAAAAATAGTCTCTACTCCTTTAATGAAATCTACAGGGTGATTACGGAATGTTAGGAAGGACAGTAACTGACCCTTCTCAGTCAGTTTTTTTAGCGTTAACGCTTTAGGTTACTTGTGGAAAGGATTCTTAAGTTTGTTGATTGTATTTGTTTTATTTATTTATTTCATTTATTAATTTGCAAAAAACCAACATAGTTTGCAAATTCAAGTGCCCTTTGGGAGATTTTATGTTCAATAGATTAAATAATATTTATGTTGGTCACACCACAAACTCGCTTTCACGACGCTTGACTCTACATTTGAATGATAACTCTAACATTTTTAGGCATTTAAAACAACATGCCTTGCCGCGTACACAATTCCGGAAAATCCTTGTTGAAAACACAACTATAATTAAACATGAAAAGAATAAACAAAAACTAAAACTTCTTGAAGCTATATACATAAAACAGTTAAAACCTAACCTGAACAAATTAAACTACGAAATCTCCACAAATATTCTTAACTGCCTATAATTGATAGAAGAAGCCATTGGTTTATACCAACGGCTTCCCATACTTAATAATTCTCGTTTTCACTCCTGCGTGTGACGTCAGGAGCTGCGACGCGAGTTTCGTTTCCGCGTCTCGTATATCGTTGCAACAAAAACAGACTATCATTATTGTTTCGTATATATATTGTATGTTACATACAATATATATATATATTAGTAAATAAGCAAAGTATAATTTTACATTATATTTATACAATTTATACACACAGTATATCTTAATGTATATACACAATGTATATTTGCTGCCTAAATACACGCAATATATATATATATATATGTGTGTGTGTGTGTGTGTGTGTGTATGTATGTATGTATATATATATATGTTAAGAAATGGACAAGGTCCGACAATTTATTTATTAAAGACATTTTTATTTATGTTTAACGTTGTTATTTTATAGATACAAGTATTTAAGCAAATGCTCTGTTTAAGATAAACAGTATTAAATAACATTTACCGGCCGAATGTCCGAAAATTTTCCGAAAATATTCGTTTCATAGACAAATTCGAACCTGCATTATTCATATACGCTGACGTTATCTTGAAAATTTCCTTAAATACTTCCTTATAAGGTTCATGGTGGCCCGATAATGAAAAAATAAAATGTCGAATAAACCTGGACATCATTCGATACGCCAGAGCAATTATGAATGTACGAGATTCATGGAAGATTGTAGTTTATAACAGTAAATTCGACCTTGTCTACCATAAGGTTCATGGTGGCCGAGTGGTTAAGGCATGTCAGCGTATATGACAGTTCCGTATAGGATGCAGGTTCGAATCCTGTCTATGAACGAATATTCTCTATGAAAATTTCTCGGACATTCAGGCCGGTAAATGTTATTTAATACTGTTTATCTTAAACAGAGCATTTGCTTAAATACTTGTATCTATAAAATAACAACGTTAAACATAAATAAAAATGTCTTTAATAAATATATATATATATATATATATAAAATTTTCTTTGAAAGAAATGTTATTAAAGACATTTTGTGTCGATTTCGGAGACGCTCAGAAATACTCATCAAGTTAACAGAAAAGTCTCGATAAATTATGGAAGATGTTAAGTGACATAATTTAATGTCTGATAAACGAATGTAAGTAAATGATGATGCTGTTTATTTCATTTTTTATGCAATTAATATTTAAATTATTTTAGTATGGCATGAAATTATGTCATATATGTTTTAAATAATAAAAGGATATGAACACAAAAGTTTCTTTTCATTTTTGAACAGTTTTATTTTCTTATGAAGATTTACAAATGTCACTTTAATTAAAATATTTTGTAAACCTAACAGCATTTTTCCTTTTGTTAATAAGTACTTCTTGCAAAATAAATGATTATATTTTCCTTAATAAAATCCAACAGAAAACAAAATGCGTCAGCTAAAATAAGATTCCCTTTTGTCTTTATTCATAATTATATATATATATATATATGGGTGTGTGTTTTTGTATATATATATATATATATATATATATATATATATATATATATATATATATATATATATATATATATTTAGTTGGATTACTGTGAGTGAAACCCAGTATCACAAACTCACACCAATCCAAATAAATATGCCAGCTCTATCTCTTATTTAATAAGTACCGCATATATATGATACATAAATAATATATATAATAAATTGCATATATATATATATATATATATATATATATAAAAATTGCATATATAATATATATATATATATATATATATATATATATATATATATATATATATATATATATATATTATATATATATATATATATATATATATATATAAATAAAGTAAGTATACTCGTCCGGAAAAAGCTTAGGTGTATTGGCTTGTAAATGAAGAAACCTATACCCAAGGAAAAAATAAGAAATAAAAAAGAAAGAACTATGAATATGTAATTTTGTCGAAAATAATCGACTAGAATCCAAGCTCAGAGTCCAAAGAAAAAACCCTCCGACACGAATAAAGAATAAATAACTAAGCAAAGTGGTCAATACACAAATCTAACTATGAACCTAAAGAGCCAGGCAAACCTACCTAGGTTTCACCTACGCGGATCGTCAGGGTAACCTAGGTAGGTTTGCCTGGCTCTTTAGGTTCATAGCTATATATATATATATATATATATATATATATATATATATATATATATATATATATATATATATTACATATTGAAATAAAAATTTACCTCATTCAAATAGCTATTTCAGCCAACAAGAAGTTCTATATTTTATTTTTACGTGTGAATGAGGTTATTATATTTTTAATGAAACTTCTCTAAAACAGGGTTTGCTTCCCAAATACACAATTATATATATATATATATATATATATATATATATATATATATATATATATATATAT